AAATATATACGATAACCATTTTAGAATCATTGCTCGGAGCTTGGGGGTCATCTTTTAGACATAATGTCACAGGACGAAAGTACATTCGTAGACAAACTAGAAGGTTGGTATTCATTTATTTTTAACATTTTTAAAATTGCATGATCAGATCACAAGAATTAGCTGAAGCATTATATTGTCAAACGATATAAATGTCGTGTTATTAAATGCATTATGTTATTGTAAATGTTTAAACCATTGTTATTTTTTCACGTATTCAGCAATTTGTTATTGTTTATGTTTCAGCGTTTGAAACCAACATATGGCTAGGGGCGACAATCATTAACAATACACGTATTTTTGTTTGGGAGAATGGGAGCAGAGTTGGTGATTATTTCGAAAACTGGTCACGAAATGAACCAAATAATGGAAAAGGCAACGAAAATTGTGTTAGGGCGAATTTGGGTGGTTTAAGGTGGGTCGATGCGCAATGTCATGAACAATGGAGTAGCGTTTGTGAATTTGACTGAATAAAAAATTAGTTTTTTTTGTTTTGTTTTTTATTCAGATAATTATTACATTTTGCAACTTTTATATTTTCTACACCTCATATATGTTAAATTATATTTCCTTATACAACCAAGGCACAAGTAAAGTCTTTGAATAATCATATGTGTTATTATCATTCATTTTTTGTCATAAATAAATTTACTGCAACTTCGAATGCAATCCCCCACAATATTTTACAAGCAAGGTTAAACGCAACCGAAAAATAGCTGCGAATGAATGGTGTAATACCATAGCTGTACACTGCATTTCCTTGAACAGGGCCGAATAAAATGATAAAATGAGGAATGTCGGTTTAGATCTGCATAGAACTTTGTGAACATTTGAAGCGTTTTGACACGGAAGTTCCAAAATATTCGTACTAACACTCGTTTATACTGTGACAGTACAGGTAAGCTCAAGTCAATTCCGTAGGAAAAGCTTAACAATCATTGTACCATAAATTTGATTACACGTGTCTAATTAACATATAGACAGTGCTGAAACGGACATTCATTACTTGTAAGTTTATCCCGATTAAACGATATATAAATCTTTACTTTAAAGCACTCCGCTGCCATCTAGACAAAATGGTTAACGACGACGTCAAGATTGAATTTAAGGTAAACAATGTTATCTTTATCCCGTAAATCTCTTTTAAAATAAAAGTTTTCTTTAACAGTTATAAAGTGTAAGTTTATTTTGTTTTATTTTATATGTTCAATTGAAAAATAAGAAGCTTGATTATAGCAAAATTTTACATTCGCGAAAATAACCGAGGTTTCTAGTTGCTGTGATGGACAAAAATCGTTTTAATTGTTGTGAGCTGTATTGTGACCTTGCTCCAAGTCGCGAACGCCTTGTTTTTGTCAGTTTCACAAAATTGTTGTTTGTGAAACATATTGTATAGATTGTTTCACTTTATATAGTGGACATGTTTTTTCTATTTGGCTCTTGTAAAATATTGTACTCAAATAAACAGACGTTGACAGAAAAAGTTAATGTTATGTGCTGTTAAGGCATTTGAAGCCAAACTACGTCAACACAACACTTTTCCCATCAGCTCAAAGGAAATAACAAGTTAAATATGTATACGCCGCAGTAGAATTTTTGTTAAAGTCAGTAATTGAAGTTACACAACTTGTGAAATATGTATACAGTATAAAAAGTAAGGAAAGGCCATATCTTATGCAGGAAAAAAGGAATTCTAATTTCCTTTGAGCTTGCATAGTTACGTGTTGTGGCGACCATACATGAAATTTTTATGTACACGAGGTCACAACAATAAATATTACTAATTTCTGATAATTTACGTCTACAAACTGCAATATTAGCATGAATTCCAATTTCAAAGATTTTTGTTCTGATATCTTATAAGTCACTTTCATATTGTTCAATGCTAGCGAAAGGTTTGCTTGCTTGTTTAATTGGGTTTACATCACACCGACATAATATAGGTCATATGGCGACGTTCCAGCTTTACTTATGGAGGAAGACCTAAGGTGCCCTTCCGTGCCGTAAAATTTCATAACAGGGGTTTAATTTAAATCCCTTCAATAATTTAAATCCCAGACATTATTTTTTTTCCAATATTTCACTCTTATATCTAAGATAAGCTTCTGTAAATTAACATAAAACCATATACGGATCATTCCTGTGAGTTCGTATGCTATAGAAATCTGGCGTTAAAAAGCTTTTCATTCCAATTTTGTTATGAATAGCTCAATTTTACCATTTTCAGTTTATTTCTGAGTAGATAGACTATATACGTTTCTGAGTATATTTCTTAATCATTTGATCAAACTTATTTTAGTGAGTTTTGCCAGGCTCTTTGAGTTACATTTAGTTATGCTTTTGCAAGAATTTATTTGACTATTCAAATATTTTTGGAATATTTTACCAAAAGACTTAGAGTAAACTTGACCTTCGTCAGAAAATATGATAACACATGGCCTCGTGCTCACAAAGATTTAAGGATCAAGGTCAATATCAGGATCAAATTGAAAAAACTTTAATACTTTTCATTGATTATCCTCTATAGATTAAATATCTAATATTAATTTGATTAAACAGGGCTTACGATAGCAATTTTATGAAATGTTAGAATAAATTTGCTGTTATTTTAGCAAGATACGGGCATTTAACAGTGGATCTAAATATAAATCCTGCTCCTTAAATTGATCCTTATTTTGATCTGAATGTTTTTGAATTTGTTTTGTTGACTTTATCCAAAAATAGTTTGGTTTCTTAGCAAATTAGCATTTTTTTTTTTTATTTTTTTTTTTTGAATTTTTAATATTTACCATTTAATTCTAGCAAAACACGATTCATTCAAGTAACATGAAACAATGAAAATAAAATCAGGAACACGTGATCCTGATATTTTCTTTGTGAACACGGGGCCTGATTCTTACCACAAATTTCCGTATGCTAGCTGGATAGTGTTCTCATATGAAATAATCCAAAGTCTCTATCCAACCCAAAGCGGTACGGCCAAGTATTTAAGACTACATTGACGCCCTATAACATTAATGTAACGAAGTAAAGAAGAAGGTACTATCCTTGTGTGAAGAGGTTATTCCAAACGCTGACTGACTCAAAACTAATACCGGCATTAAGTCAAACTGCCAAGTCTACAAACCAAGTTCAAGTTCAATTCAAGATTGTGAGCGTGTACAAATTTTTTCAGATGTTAAATGCTCTGTAGCAGCCGAAAAATGGTGATCCTACCCTTATTCCAGTGTTGCCATATTTGCTTCGTCGTGATCATTGATTCCAATACTTTAAATGTTTAGGATTGTATAACGCTTGCATGTGCTTGGGACTATACACAATTAAATGGATCCTGCAATTGTCCACTATTCGTTGTAATTTATTTTTGCTCTCGACAGATCCCCATCCCCAACCAATCTCCAGATGTTTGGAAACCCCCCTCTCTCTCTCTCCAGATTTTTGGACAATACGTCTACAGATATAGTAGGTAACATTTCCGATACAGTTTGACACTGTTTCCAAATAAAAAGAAGTGCTGATTGTTCTATGGGAAGATTTCAAACAGTTCGTAAATAGAGGATATTATAAAAGTTTAATTCTGCATTTTCCAACAAGTTGAATAAAATAACATTATGCGAGCCTCTTGCGAGCATAGTATTATTTTATTTAACGAGTTCAATAAATTCAGTAATGCACTTACACGAATTTAATATTCTATTCATCATATAACAAAAAGATACCGTTTGAAGTTGAAAAAGGACTATTTTGCACGTGCCTAGTATAACGCTAACATGTAGCGCGTCTGAACGCTATGTTTGTATAACGCAAATGATGTCACGTCAAAATATATGCACGGCCGTGCCAAACCATGTTTACGGAGACGCAAAGCGGCGCGCCATTGTAATAAAATGCGTTCAAAACATTTCAAAAAAATGTTTCAAGCATTTGAGGTGTAAAAAACTACCACACTTAAAATAACGAAACATCTTTCCAACAATTATTTTTCGACATTTTTAGTTATTCTGCTTTTGTCAGTAACGTTTCTGCTTCTGAGAGATCACGGGCAAAACACCCTACTTAAAATTCATAGGATCAAATGACTACTTCCAGAAAGAATGTCTTTACGTTTTCGGTTCATAGGTTGACTCAGCCATCAGCCATCAGATATATATTAAAGAGAGAGGAAAACAACTGTGATACATTTGTTGGTTGAATTTGATCATACATGGAAAAAAAGTTTTAGTCTATATGCACCAGTAATTATGCTTTCATTTTTATTTCTCAAAATCTATTTTTATGCAATTAAGTTCCAACATATTATCCGTTGGCCAATTTCCTGAACCATCTTCTTCTAATGTTGCTTTCCGGCAATAAGTGCTACTTTTATTACATATTATTTAACATTTAGATCTACTGTCTTAAGGTAACAAACATCTAACATGATCTAAAACCATTATTTAAACGGTATGAAATCATGTTTCAAAAGCTTTCTAAAGAAGTTATTAGTTCTTCATTTCTGAGAAATAGTATGCCTTTAAATGTTAAATATAATACATGTATTAGAGTCCGTTTAAAATGTTTTTGTCCAAAATTGTATGTCCTAATTCCAATGTTTAGATAGACTTTCCAGCTGTAAAGCCTTGCCCCTTACTTTATCTCAGTCTTTTTATATTTTTCTGAGACTTAAGTATCATTGACTGCAATACTAGATAATAAAACTGCTTAAGACGGTGCTAGGGGCATGACCTTTCGTTACCACTCATGACTTTAAAATATCGAGCATTTTTACTTTGTTGGCAATTATGTTTATAACCGTTTGTGATCACGTATGGCCAAGTCAATTGTGAAAACTGTAGTTGTTATTGGTGTATTGTAAAAAATTACCGTGAACAATTAAGAAAAAGTATCAGACACAATGTTATTAGTTTATTGGATAAAAGAAAGAAATCCGGTGAAAATACAAAAAAAAATATCTGACACAATTGAACAGGATATGCACTTTATTTTTTAATTTCCAGTATGGAAGTTCGGCTCACACCGGCAAATATTATCAATACAATGGAAAATCACCGCACCAGTTGAGTCTACCCGACAATGATGATGATCCGCATCAGCTACGGCGCTGTAACAGTCTGATCTCACAACGCATTTCTGACCTGTAATAAAATATACACTGAACTATTTTGATTATTTCGTTGTTTTTTTTTTTTTTTTTTTTTTTTGTTTTTTTTTTTTTTTTTTTTTTTTTGGAAATTTAAGAACTATCATATATCAGACATCACACAAACCAAACCTTATTAACGTAATTTCGTTTGTTTGTATTATTTATTTTTTTATAACTCATATATACAAAAATTACTAAGTCCTTATTTGGCTACTTAAAACTACTTTTTTATGAGCTTTTATTCCTATTTTGACGCTTCAATACTAAAACACTTCTAAACACGTTGCCATTTTTGACCGTGCGACAATACACCCATCAAGAACATGTTGGAAGGAAAGTAGTAATACTGTACAGTTTTTAAAGTCTTATTTTTAAGCTGGTTTTGATCTTTTCAAGCACTGTCCTTTATCAATCTGCAGATATCAAGATAGAAATTTAAACAAGAAATATGTCCATAGGACACGGGTGCCCCAACACGCCACTGTTCTGTCAATCTTATGACTCTAGTACAAATATTTTTGGACTACATTTGCCACAAGTTGAAAGCTAAAAATCTTTTACTTAGTATACAAATACTGAATAAATCCACAAGCAAACCCCAAGGTGCATAAGTACACATGCTGACCAACACTCTTTCAGGCCTATAAGTCAAATACTTTTTGAGCTATGCATAAACAAGTTGAAAATTGCAAATTTATACTACTGTAAATCAAGGGCAATAACTCTAACAAAACTGAAAAAGACACATGCAAAGCCCCAGGTGCATTATAGCTTCACAGTGATGTTGATCATTATTCCTGTAATTTAGTGATGTTGATCATTATTCCTGTAAAGCTGGTAGATTCTAACTTAAGCACTCAAGGAACAAATAACACAACATAATAACACAGTCTTTACTAAGTTAAGGGCAATAACTTTACAAATACTGGATAAATCCACAAGCAAAACCCAAGGTGCACACCTACATGATTATGCTGAGCAACATTCCCGTAAGGTTGCATGACTCTATGTCAAATCCTTTTTGAGTTACATGCGACACAAGTTAAAAATTGCAACGTTTTACTAAGTCAAGGGCAATAACTCTAAAAATACTATATAAATCCACACGAAAATATCAAGGTGCACAACTTTACATGCTGATCAACATTCCTGTAAAGTTTCATGACTCTATGTCAAATCCTTTTTGAGTTACATGCGACACAAGTTGAAAATTGCAAAATTTTACTAAGTCAAGGGCAATAACTCTAAAAATACTAATTAAATCCACATGAAAATACCAAGGTGAACAACTTCACATGCTGATCAACTTTCCTGTAAAGTTTCATGATTCTATGTCAAATTCTTTTTAGTAACATGCGACACAAGTTGAAAATTGCAAAATTTTACAAAGTCAAGGGCAACCACTCTGAAAAACTAATCAAATCCACACGAAAATGCCAAGGTGAACAACTTCACATGCTGATCAACATTCCTGTAAGGTTTCATGACTCTATGTCAAATTCTTTTTAGTGACATTCGACACAAGTTGAAAATTGCAAAATTTTACTAAGTCAAGGGCAATAACTCTAAAATACTATATAAATCCACACGAAAATACCCAGGTGCACAACTGCACATGCTAATCAGCATTCCTATTAAGTTTCATGACTCTAGATCTCATATTTTTTTTGAGTTACGTGCGACACAAAAGAGAACGGACGAACGGAAGGGCGGACGGACAAGGGTAAATCTAAATGACACCCCACCCCCCGCAGTGGGGGCACAAAAATAAGTCAGCCATCGATACAGATCCTGATCAGACAGTCTGACTTTACTCTTCAACAGTAAAATCATTTATAATTAAGCAGGTGCAGTGTTCTTAACAGTTGTCATATCTACAGAGTTACTTTAAATCAAACGCGTCGGACTTGTCTAAGGATTGTTTGCTGTATGGATTCCAGTCACGTTATTGGCAAGTCATGGTTTCACTGAGCAAGAAATTTCATACTAATTAGTTTGAATCAAAAGCGTCGGACAAGTAATCTAAGGATTGTTGGTTGTATGGGTCCCAGTCACATCAGTGGCAAGTCATGGTTTCCCTGAGCAAGATATTTCATACAATGCTTGTTTAGTGTGACTGTTCACACTGTATTACCGGCGCCAGTGATGACAGATTACTGCAGTTGTGTCAGCAATCTAACATTTACTTATTACTACAGCACACCGTATAACCGGCACCAGTGATGACAGATTGCGGAGAGTGATGACAGAAATATAACATTTACTGATTACTACAGCACAACGTATAACCGGCACCAGTGATGACATATTGTGGCAAGTGGTGACAGAAATATAACATTTACTGATTACTACAGCACACCGTATAACCGGCACCAGTGATGACAGATTGTGGCAAGTGATGACAGAAATATAACATTTACTGTTTACTACAGCACACCGTATAACCGGCACCAGTGATGACAGATTGCGGCAAGTGATGACAGAAATATAAAATTTATTGATTACTACAAGTAGGACACAGATGTTTTTTTGGTATATATAGAGTACGCAAATTGTCAATTTCTTTTGCTATAGACTTGGGATACTGTCAGGTAATTAAGGACTAGTTTCATTATTTTATAAAATGTTTTGAGCAAGTTATCAATGGCAGCTTCGGAAAAATCCGTGATAAAAGGTGGTGGTGGTGGTGGTGGTGGTGGTGTAGGTTGTTGTTGTTGTTGTTGTTGTTGTTGTTGTTGTTGTTGTTGTTGTTGTTGTTGTTGTTGTTGTTGTTGTTGTTGTTGTTGTTGTTGTTGTTGTTGTTGTTGTTGTTGTTGTTGTTGTTGTTGTTGTTGTTGTTGAAAGTATCTCAAGAGGGACGTCGTGTTATACATATGGTCAGTCAAATTGAAACAGCTATAGAATACGTTGTAAGATAAAATGCATAAATACTTAAAGATTCTGTATGTTTTGTGATTGATATTGTTACTGTTTGTATAAAAAATTATATAGTGTATGTATATAATTATGCAATAAAACAATTTTCAAACATCGAAGAATATGTAAAATGTGTACTGCAAATTTTTGTGCACATTATATTTAATCAATAAATTATATGCATTCAAATCTTATTGGAAAATTTGACTAAATTCTAATTACCTCCATTTATTTACATGAAATGTTTAATTGGGTAATATCTTTATAAATAATGCTTATTGGAACTTAAAATATTGACAAATCTTAATTTGAGCATTATTTAAATGAAATAAAACCATGAACAAATTGTGTTTCAGGATCTTTAAAGCAAATACGTGTCCTATATACTGAACTAACGTCGGTTGACGTTCTTTCTTTTGTTTACGTTCATATGTCGGTATTATAAGTATTTAATTGAACAACGCTTTTATCTCAACGTTTTTTGCCAATTAATGTTTTTTCATACGTCAGTTTTCATTCTAACATCGAAAAAAAAACATTCTCACGTTGATTACCTTTGTTTACTCGAATACAAATTATTTCGTCGGTAAACGCGTTTTTCGTTTATGTCGAATTCGGGAAAGAGGCAGTTATCTCAGGGACGATAAAATTATATCACATATTTAAACGATTATTAGCTATGCTATTTCTTACGTGTTGGTGTAGATAAACACGTGCACTTGTTATCGACGCAATGTAGAGTAGAGTTTCTGCACGAGGTCACCGTGCAAACATCAATAGATGATGTACAGCTCTCACTCTTGACGTACACTGAAACAAAGCAAACACAATAATTGCGCACATGAACTAACTTTAAACTACAATTATGCTCGAAACAACAAGTATCGAAACAACAGGTATCGAAACAACAGGTATTGATACAGAATTATGAGTGAGACTATGTAAAGTGTTTTGAGCACCACACTAAGTTCCGTATTCCGGTATATACAGGACAAGGTGCTTAAATAATTAAATGCTAAACTCTCGCCTTTTCACCTAACGAAATGCACTTTTAAAGGTCTAATTCATCTATTCACACAAATTTATATACGATCATGAATGAAAAAATGTAAGAATCGGCGTAAAAAGCGTTATTTGTCTACTGTTTCATCATGATTATTGAAAGCGTATAGAGGTATAGCTCAAAAACTGTAGTGATTTAAATCAAAGACTAAATATCTTCTGAGACAGGAACTGATCCTCTTATTAATATGACGTCATTGACGTTCCATTCTGAATTTATTGAACGTCTTGAAAAAAATCTTTCATTATCGGACCCTTTGGCAAGATAAAAAATACATATCTATAAATCAAGTCAATAAATTTTCTATACGAAAATAATATTCTATATAATATATATCATATACCCAATATACGAACAGTACAGATAAGTAAACCATTCATGCTAGCATTCTGTGCACCTTACGGTATCTTTGTTTTACGCATCGCATAAGACATCACGTGACGTCAAAATATTTGCAAACCCGTGCAATATCGTTTTTAACTGAATACCAAAAGCTTTAAAGATACTTTGATAGATAATAATAATAAAATGATGATAATAATGATAATTATGATTATAATAATGATGATTATAATGATAATGATTATAATGTTGTGATAATCATAATGATGATGATTATTATAATAATATTACTGATGAAATAATAATAATGATGATAAAAATAATGATGGTGGTGATGATGATGATAATGATGATGAGAATAATAATAATAAAAAATAATGAGGATGACGGTGATGCTTGGCAGCTCGTGTAAAAGAAATGCACTTAAAACTACGAAATTTAACGACTCACCTATCAAAATCGCAAGGAAAATCACAGTAATTTTCATGTTAGTTAGATGTTTTGCCTGTCAATAGGTAAAATGATAACAAAATTCATCATTCCTTCACTGCATATGTAGTCTAATTTGAGATAAGAGTTTTCACCTTGCCGAACTTACCACATACAAACAGACATCATTACATTTTGACTTTGCTCTGTCACGATCATCGTGAGGTTATGGGAAAAATTTATTCGATTTTTCGTGAAAAGGAATACTGTCCGTGTAACCTGCTTACATTCATTCCAAAACACTTGTTTCTACAATAATTATTGCTGTTCTATATAGACAGTGATCAGTTTGTCTATTTGTGGGTTTCTATCAATATTTTCGGATATTTGAAGCGTTTTGCTCAGATTGTGTAGCGGTATCATAAACGGTGTGCCATAGTAAAGTCCGTCCTAGCCCACAGCCGACCCTGTCCTACGATACGCCCTTCCCGGGGATCCATCCGTCTTGCTACCAGTCCGTCCTGTCCCACTATCCATCCTGACTTACGAACTATCCTGCTATTGCTTCACATTGTGCTGCGATCCGTCTTGTCTCCCTGCGAACCATCCTGTTACCAGATTCGTCATTCTCCATGGCGCGTCTTGTCCAACGAATCGAACTGTCTTGCCATCTGCCTTTCCCACTTAACGCCCTGTTCCAGTAATCGCCCTGTATGATCCGTCCGTTCGATGACCAACACTGTATCTAAATCCGCCGTGTCCAATGACTCATGCCTTGTCACAGGAGCCATCTGACCCACGATCCCTCCTGTGTCCACTATCCGACTTGTCCCACAATCCGCACTGTCCTATGATCCGCCTCGTCCCACAATCCACATGTCGTATTTTTAGTTACAAAATTTTTTACAGTTTATTAATACAAATTATTTTAATATTGAACATAATAAATGAGATTTTCGTGGTACCCATATCGAATCTATTACATAAAGATTACCAAAATAAATAGTTAAAATGAAATGCAAATAAGAGAAGTACATAAAATAAGAACAGTAGGCGTGAATTTAGTAAACATTTTTACCATTACAATATCAGTTATGAACCATGTAAATCTTATTTTCGAAGTTGCCATATCATATGTTATTCTTTAATATTTCAGTGATACAAATCATTAAGTAACAGCATAGATAAGTTTAAAAGACACTATATTAAAAATATATCTGATTTTCGTAGCCTCGATCTTATTTTTGAGAGAAAAAAAGCTTATTTTGCGCGCGATGTTTTTCAAGGGAGACGACTGCGTTTATAGTATGCTATGCTTAGAAGCAATCTCCACGCAGTGATCTCCCCTTAATTCTTCGGCATAGATCTCTGCCACCAAGGTCCCGATATATCAGAATTTCTGATATACTATATTTTTTTCAAAAATTGTTTTATTTACTGCTTTTATCTATCAGTTAAGTTTTTTCTCATTGATTAAACAATGTTTATGTATAAATAAATAAATAATATGAATATTTAGAAATAATTTTAAAATTATGAGAATATTTTCTACCGTGATATTTTATATTTTTTAGCTTTTGAATTTATTTTTCGTTATTTTGTACACTTTTGATAATTTTTTGATAAACTATATCGAACGTAGGCACTAAAAGTTAAAAATAAAACAGAAAGAGAAAAATGACGTTAGATTTTCTATGTAACGGTCGATATTTACATTTGAATTTCGACGTTACGTCATGTGACTTTCATCATCATGTGACGTCTTTGAAGGCAGTGATTACAATTCTGCCAAGGGAGGTAATCACTGTGAGGAGTTTGGCTTAGAAGTATAGGTTTCTTCCCTTGTTATACTCGCACAAAACTTTTTTCTTATTTATTTCGTTTCAATATTAGTTTTGTTAGCTTCTTGATCGTGATATTTTCTTAAGTTTTAGGTCGACGGTTATTGCCCAGGATTAATTGCCGTTTATACAGAAGCCCTGATACAACCATGTCCATCTTTAAAAACTGTAAAGGTCAGGTGCAAAGGGGAGGGGGGGGGTCATACGATGCGCGCGCAGCCTCAAAATTCTGATTTTTAGCTGGTATTTAAATTTGAACAAAATCGAGTCATATAAAACAATCCGTATAGATTTGAATTTAATTTCTTTTGTAAAGAAGATGTTCTTATTTCTAGTTTTAGTATTCCAAATGCCTGTAAATAGTTCTTTTTAAGACATTTTTCGTACGTTCGCGGTATCAGAATTTAGAGATCTATGACCCCCTTGATTGGTATGTGCAAACATTGCAATACAAACGACATCAACGTGACAACAGTAATGGCGGGAAAAACGTATTCTGAAACATTGAATTATTCATTCATACTAAATCAATCAAGACAAGCTATATAAGTTATATGAAGTAGGTTTTTATAAAAAAAAAATTCAAGTTTCTTCAAAATTTTGACACTTCATTATTTTATTTATCTAGCAATATTTTTTTCTTTTTTGTTCTTTCACGATCAGCCAAGGAAACAGTGGTTACCATGGAGATATATTATTATGTTATCATGGAGATATATTATTATGTTATCATGGAGATATATTATTATGTTACCATGGAGATAAATTATTATGTTACCATGGAGATAAATTATTATGTTACCATGGAGATATATTATTATGTTACCATGGAGACATATTATTATGTTACCATGGAGATATATTATTATGTTACCATGGAGATATATTATTATGTTACCATGGAGATATATTATTATATTACCAATGGAGATATATTATTATGTTACCATGGATATATATTATTATGTTCCATGGATAATATATTATTATTACCATGGATTAATATAGTTATCTGCTTATAATCAGTTACCATGGATATATATTATTATGTTACCATGGATATAAAAAAAATATTATTATGTTTACCATGGATATATAGATATATTTAGTTATAAAATGCTAAATCACATCTTATGGCTCAAAATATCTTCCATGGATGTAAACAAAGATGCTAGGATTTACTGAATATTTATTTTAACATTAAAATAAGACAAATTCTTAAGCTTTTGTTTATACCACGGAATTGTCAACAGTAAACTTCGTATAGTTCTGTGGTTATACACTTGGTCAAAAAATTGGGGTTTTCTGCAACCCAATATACACGTAGTTCTTCAAAGACAGAAGGCACATACTTACTATTCAGTTCTCTTTATTTATGTTGCCAAAAGTGAAATTCATGTATCGCATTCTAGTCCTGACTGCTGAACGTAAAACAAATGAGTACGAATACTTCTGTGAACGAATTCAACAATTCATACCTTAACCATTTTTGTATTACTGCTGGAATACGTTTTAACAGAATCAGAGACTGTAATGCAGTTTATGTTTGTGACATAATTATGTCACAGTTTAATTTTACTTTGAAAATATTTTTGTACTCATTATTACTGTACAGAAAGAGTTGCTTCTCTTTATTTTCTGCTCTCGTGAAAATTGACTCCGCAGCACGCCTCAAGATTCATGTTAATTCCCATAAACATTTTGGAAATGTATTTAAAAGTAAAATAATGTGAAGTGAACAAATAAAAGTAATTTACATATTGCAATCGGCACTTACAATCCACGACAATTACCAAAAAGTTGTCAACATACATATATCCTTACTGCGTTAGTAACGCAGTAGAAATATGGTGATAAAATACTGCAATATCAAATAATCAAAACGCTTTATACCAGTGCAATATGTAACTCTCGGACAAACAATTAGATTTTTACTATTTTAGGACAACTGAAGTATGAATTGTCAACTTTCAATGGCTTGATTTTTGGCAACGAATATCCCCCATAAATTTATACTCCTTAAATGTATACTGTAATTGAATGGACTGTTCGAACTTCAAAGCTAGGTAAAACCACTACACAATCAAAATCAAGTTTATGTAGAAAACAAAAAGAATTTGTTGTTTACAATTTTATTATAAAGATAGATACCAGTAAAATAATTCAAATATAAGTGAAATATAATTGGGAAAATAACAAAAATACACATTTTTATAATAACTTGTAGCACATTACATTTATTATACTAGTAAAATTGGATTAAATACTTGCCAAGCTCTTACATACAACATATTAATAAATTATTTTCTTTTAAGTTTTTCTGCAAAAAAGTTTAATATGTTAAGGGACAGTTCATATACATAAATTCGGTTCACGTCGTAAATTTCCGTAACAAACATTTATCTTGAAAGCGTCGAGTCTGCAAGCTTTCATGTTACACATGATCTTAGAAACGCTTGTATCACGGAAATCAACGAAGTATACCGAATTAAAAGGAACGAGATTGGAATAAGACGCGCGAGATTGTAATTTGACGCATATTATTTCAAGTATTAAATAGGAAAACGTTTACTCTCAAACATCTCAAACTAATCATTCAATTGCTATTTTTTTCAATAAAAGATAATTTCCGCGTGGTCTTTGATTTCACGTGGATGGATTTCCGCTTTTTTAATACCCTTCACCTTACAGCATTGGATATATATAAAGAAAAAAATATGTCGACAGTCCGTGTGGGTGACCTTAAATAGCATACTCTTATATTATTTGGGCTCTTACAGCCAACGTATGACGGAAAAGCCGCAATTTTCGGCTTTTGTTTTCGGCTTTCCCATCATATAGGAAAGGTAATCCTCACGGTAAGATATTCCGCACGGTAAGGTAATCCGCATGATAAGGTATTCCGCACGGCTGTACGATGCGTAGTATGACTGTACATATCTGAAAATGTTTCCCAGTTCACAGCTCATATTTGCTCAGTTATATCCAGATCGATATGTTTTATTCATACAAATCGGAGACTGTCCAAATACGATATGCTGTTTGGGGAATAAATGTGAAACATGTTTCTGATAATGTAGAGAATTTAAAGTCCAGTCAAGATCAACCCTACGCGCTTGCATTAACCCTACACATTAAAAAAAACCTCTTTATTATCTTACAAAAATATTTTAATACATGTAAAAAGGTCAGTTATTTCACTGAGAAAAAAGTTGATAATTAGATTCATTTATAGTTCATGTACGACACAGATCGAGTTCATGTTTGACACAAATCAAGTTCATTTAAGACATTAAATCGTTTCCGTGTACGACACAGATCGAGTTCATGTACGATAACAAATCAAGTCAGTGTACGACACAAATCGAGTTCATTTAAAACATCAAATCGAGTCCGTGTACGACACAGATCGAGTTCATGTACGACATTAAATCGAGTCCGTGTACGACACAGATCGAGTTCATGTACGACATCAAATCGAGTCCGTGTTTGACACAGATCGAGTCCGTGTAAGACAACAATTGCCATAATTTGGTTGTAGTGTGGTTCTCAATACAAATATCATTTTATTAATTATACAATTACGAGTGTTTTACATGTATATAGATAAAGATGCATATACAGTCTCGCATTATCGCACAAAGTTATGTTTTAATCTAATGTATTCAGAAATGCTTGTTTCCCCATAACTTATATATATTATTACCCCTGTTCACATCATGAAAAAAATTGAAGCTATAAGTTCACGGCCATTCTGATATTACAATGCAAACCAGCTAGAAATTCAGTTACTATGGCAACGCTGATAAAACGCTATTTACACTAGATCTGTTCTAGCAGGGTGAGAAATCTCTACATGAATAGTACTTTGTTTATATTCTGTTCTAGTTATAACTATATGTCATCCTATACTAAGAAGAGAGAAAAAATTTCTCTGTGTATATTCAAGGTGATAAAATATGTTGCCTCCCACACAGCCGTGCTTTTATTCACGGAAATAATTGAGGGAAAAACACCACAAACTGAAAGTCGGTCAATATTTATCCAAAGCGGTTATATTTGTTTATTTATTTACTCAGAAAACTGATTATCAGCAGTAAATCAATGCCAAACAAATCTTTAAAAAATACACAACACCATAATTCGAAGCTGAAACAATGAGGATAAATAAAAGTTAAACTACATGTACTGCATAAAAATGGTTAAAATATTGGTTTGTCGTGGAAATAAAATGCAGACGTTTTTTGAAGATTTGAATACAATCTTTGAACACAAAAAGGTGAATATTGGAAAGTACTGTTGTCTAGATCATCCGGGAACAGTATCCGGAGTTATCCGGAAACAGTATCCGGAATTATCCGGGAACAGCCGAACAGCATCCGTCATGTGCGCTTTCTAGACGAAACGAGGAAATATAAGGCATGAGCAGGCACAAATGAGGATTAGCACCGTTTGAAGCAGAATTATATCCAATGAAATGGTCCTGAATAAAGTCAAAGAAATATACATCCAGCAGTAACTTGTTAATATATTGACAAGTTTAAAACTACACTCCCTATCCAACAATGAATTAATAAAGACACCAGTTCCTGCGATCGTATTAAAAAGGCCATTAATATTCTTCTGTACTGAACTAGTAAACAACACTGAATGTTACCGTTTTATATAAAGCAAGTTATATCAACACCGTGTTTAATCAAGTATTCTTTGCATTCATACAAGCACATATCCGATTGTTTAAACTTTTTTTCTTCCAATCATTCCCTTGCCATAGACACTGCCTGTGGACTGCCCCCGGCAACTTCCTGAGATTCTTGCACCAAGGCGCAGAGAGGGCAGCAGAAATACATAATTAAATCCCCAACAAAACTCCCCTGGATCCCTTTCGATTCTCGAATTTTGGACCTAATATGAGCTCCTAGGAAGAGGTCAAGACCCGGAACCAGGAATCCGATGCCGCATAGTAAACAATCCTCGCCGACTGCTTCCGCATTTTTGCCAAATCTGTAGCATGGAATAAGCCAGGATACAATACACAGTCCAAAGTTATCAAAACATCCGCAAAGTCCGTGTTGCCACTCTCCCGACATTGTTGTCTGAAATAGATAAAAGAAGAAAAATCTTCAGAAGATAAGATTTCTCAATTTAGAATGATAATTGCGAAAGTATCGTCACCAAAGCATGCTTGTTTTTATAAAGTGATAGTGCTATTTTCTGTGATAATCTTTTATTATCTGAATATGTTTAAAATGTAACAATGGCATTGAAATAGCATTGTTATACAACCACACAGTAATTAGTTTTTGTAATTAAGGAAAACATTGTTAGTAAACATACTCTTAGACTCTTCAACATTATAAATCGATCTTTTAACTATGCACATCACATTAAATTTCAACGTTTGCAAAGCCTAATATTTTAATAATTTTACGGCGTTTCTGAAGTGTTAATATAAAAGTAAGCAAAGCCCATGAATGTCGAAAACAGGAAAAAAATCGTTCATTTATTATTTTAACATATTTTCGTTTTAAATGTGTAATTCGGTATTTTATGCACCACTTCCGTTTTGAGCCAAAAAGTTGAGATTGTTCCGTTATCGGAATCTTTCGGCGATAAGCATTGAGTGACAATGAAAATGGCGGCGCCTAACTACAAATGACACTACTACTCAGTCTACTGATGAAAAAAACTTTATATTTCTGAAAATGTTATTTTATTTCCTTTTAAATGTATACTTGTACTCGTATATCAAAAAGTCTTTGACTTCCCGGAATAACTGAACCTTTTATAAGGGTTCCACAGAGGTTTTTTGACATGGCTGAAAATAGTTTTACGATATTTGTTTTCCATTTGTTGTAAGTCTGGACCAATGACTTGTAATGCAAAAATTCATTTCTCACAATGTTTTGTGTGTGCAAATGACCCAAATAAGGAAAGTGTTTTAACTCGATCAGGCTAAGAATCGAACAAAAATCGATATTCAATTTAATTCTGAGAATGTTTCATTAATATCTCATGCATATTTTACCATTTATTCGGGTCGTGCTGATCTATGTCAGAGTTACAACCTTTATGTTAGTTCTCTTTACATCTCATGTTTGATGATATGATAAATTCCTAATCTTGATTATTTAATACCTGTGTACATTGTTTTAGATAACATGAAATTAGGCAAAGCTTACAAACGGTGAAGTCGGTTAAAAATCGTTCATTTTCCGTTTTAAAGGAGTCATTCGGTATGTCATGCATCGCTTCCGTTTTCACTCGGAACACTCGACGATTATTATTAATCGACTAATCTGTAATCGGAATACCCCGCCTATTATCATTGAGTTACAGTGAAAATGGCGGCGGCCAACTAGAACTTACACTGAACATTTCATTGATATAGATTTCTATATATTCTTTAACTGATTTTTTATATCCTTTTAAAGATCCTGTATGTTTTGTGATTGATAATGTTACTGTGTGTATACCACACTTGCAAAAAATTGTATATGTATATAATTATGCAAATGAAACGATTTTCAAACATCGAAGAATATGTAAAGCGTGCACTGCAAATATTTGTGCACATTATATTTAATCAATAAATAACATGCATTAATTTCTTATTGGAAAATTTGACTAAGAATTTATAGAAAATAAATTTCTAATTACCTCCATTTATTTACATGAAATGTTCAATTGGGTAATATCTTTATAAATAATGCTTATTGGAACTTACAATATTGACAAATATTAATTTGAGCATCATATTTATGAAATAAAACCATGAAAAAATTGTGTTACAGGATATTTATTGGCGTCCGCGCCAAAGCGCGACGCCAAAGCGCGACGCCAAAGGGCAGTTGCAACTTCTCGGGCCTTTTCGTCGGTCATAATAGCCGATCTTTCCGATTGGTATGAGGGTAAATGAATATGTACAGTAAATAGCGAATTGGAGAATTTCGCAATGCAAACATATTCAAATGAAATTATCTTATCCGTCAATTAATCGCGCTCCTCTTTCTTAATTAATCATTTTGTAGTACACAGTGGGTTATTCTGTAAGTTATTGCTGTACCTATAAATAGAATGATGACCTTAATATTTTGAAAGTTCGAAAATCTATTCATAGAAGTTTTAGTTTAACGAAACGGTCATAAATTTCTTGCTAGGACGCCCTTCGATGCTTTGCATCAATGCTTTTCTTGTTAATTATATAATACAAGAGCAAGATGTTAGCAGTTCAGCAAACTATTTGTTATATCATAGTTTTATTTTTTTGACGACGGGTAACGAAGGCGATGTTACATTTCCGATATCATCATCATCAACAACAACAACAACATCACCACCACTACCACCACCACCATCATCATAACCATCATCAATAACAACACAACAGAAATTAGACACTCGTCATTAGTGTTTTGTCTTCTCTTTTCTTTACAATTTTTCAGTATTTTACATAAAATGCACGTTTGAGAAAAGTGTATTGTAAAGATACATAGAAAGTATTTGTTATAAACTGTTAAAAGAATTTTTCAAAAATTTCAAAATGACAATTTGTTTTAAAATGTTTTCTTAAAAATTAAAGATACATGTTTAAAGTAAAAAACATAATAGTATTTTTTTAAAAAAAATTTTTTTTTTTTTGTTAAAAATTTAAAAATTTTCTTTTTAAAGTAAAAAAGTGTTTAAATTTTAAAAAAAAAATTTTAAATTTCAGTTGTCCCGGAAAGGGCGTTTAATTTTTTGGGGTTCCTATTTTTAAAAAAATTTTAAAAAAATATTAAAAAATATTTAAAACCCCAAAACCCCCCGTTTTTTTTATTTTCCAAAAAAGTGTTAGAAAATGGACAATTGGTGGCCTCAAATATAATTTTACATTTCTGTTAACTGATTCTCTGCAGTATGTACATGAACTTCATATGTAGCATATGTACATGCATATATAATATATTTCATTTTGTGTAAAAATGACTTCTTTTGATTGTACAGTTGACACATAGGCCCAGTGGGTCGGGTGTCTTTTCTTGTCCTTACATGTTATGTTGTTGTTATATTCTCATGCACATGTCTTTGCCAAGGGCGACCATCGTCTTTATAATAAAAATTTTGATATTCAAAACTAAAACCCATTCCCATCCCCAATCACCCCCCCCCCCCAAAAAAAAAAAAAAAATGATTTATTAAATTTCTAGTCCAAAACCCCTTAAGATGATAACCCCTTGAAAAAAAACTTTTTTGTTTAACAAATTAGGTTTAACATTCAAACCTTTTAACAGGTAGAGGGGAAAAATTTTAAAATTTAATTCCGAAAGAATTTTAAGGGGGGGTAACCATTAAAATTTAACAAAATTAAACCGCAAAAAAAATTTTTGTTTACCGGGGAAAAATTTTTTGCTTCGGGTAATTAAAAATTTTTTTTTTGGGAAATAAAAACCAATTGGGGGGAACCGAAAAACTTTTACAGGTTTAGGGTAAAATTAAAACTTTAAAATTTTGGGGGAAATTGAACCATTTTAAAAAAGGTTTGGGGGAAATTAAAACCCCACAGTTTTAGGGGCCCTTGAACACATCAAAAATTTTTGGGTAACCATTTAAAACTTACATTTTTAGGGCCCTAAAACTTAAATTTAGGGGGGAAAAACTTAAATTTTTTTTAACCCCCCTTTTTTTTTTTTTGGGGCCCCAAAAAATTTTGGGGCAATTGAAGAATTAAAAAAGTTTTCTGGGTTTTTTATTTTTGGTTTTAGTCCCAAAAATTTTTTTGTTTATGATTTGTTGGAGTTTGGTTTTTTTTTTTTATCCTTTTTTTTTTTTTTTTTTTTGGTTTTAACAAAAAATTTTTTTAATTTGTTTTTTAAAATTTTGTTGGTGGAATTTTTTTTTCAAAAACCTTTTTTTGTTTGGTGTTTTTTCATAATTGTTTTTTAAAAAATTTTTTTTTAAAATTTTTTTAATGCACCCCCCATTTGGACGTAAAATAAAATTCCAAGTGGGGTTTCTGAAAAATATTTTTTAAACTTGTAAAACCGGAGGCGTGGGCATTCTACACGACTTGTGAGAACAATATTTGAGCCGCGTCACGACAAAATCAACACAATGGGTTTGCGACCAGCATGGATCCAGACCAGCCTGCGCATCCGCGCAGTCTGATCAGGATCCATGCTGTTCGCTATCAGTTTCTTTACTTGTTATAGGGTTTGTAAGCGAAATGCATGGATCCTGATCAGACTGCGCGGATGCGCAGGCTGGTCTGGATCCATGCTGGTCGCAAACGCATTACGTTAGTTTTGTCGTGACGCGACTCATTTGTTAATTAATAGCCTGATAAAAATATACCATGTTTTTAACTGACTCCTCTACGTGAATCTCTAGGTTTTTATTATTTAATATTATAATGATATATTTAATGTTTCAACACCCATTTTGACTCGTATACTGGCCAATGGCATGCATTCGATGAAAAGAGGGAAGTTATAGAGATGTATGTTTTAAATTGAACAACAAATCGAAATATAAAGACGTTTCATGACTTACGAGTAAGTATAATGTTATTCAAAAGAGAAAAAAAACCATCTTATTGTCACATTGAAATAAAGCAGACGTTAAATCGATTACTGATAACCTTCTTGTCGCTTCTTTGTTTTTCTAAATAATTTTTCTTTCCATTGACAAAGCGTACATAACGAAATAAAAATAGTTGTGTGTTTATCTTCTTTTTTGTGCTTGTATGTATGTATGTGTTTTTTCAGAAGAATAACAAAAACAAAACACGAAACTATACACTTCCCTCTTCCCGCTTTAAGTACCTTTTAAGGTAAAACCAAACGAAAACAAATGATAAAATAAAAGGTATAGAATTCCTAATGCGGCAAATCAGTAAATTTCAGGTTGTTTTCATGTACATGTATATATTATAAATGTATGTAACAAACTGCATTGACTTTTACATAAATTAGCATGCTTTAATCATTTTCGTCAATAAACTAACATAGCCCGCGGAGTAAAACGCACGTGAATTTAATACTTTACCCTTTTTCCACGCTATGGTTAAAGATACATGAACATGTATTTATAATATTTATTAAATTCACCTTGCGTACCAAAATTACTGAGTTATTGTTATGTAAAATATATAGAATACATCTTCAAACGTGCGCCAAACTACTGTATATTCTACATCATTACATTTGTAGATACGACAGTTTTGTTGCCTATACAAAGTCAATGTAGATACGATTATGCTGACTGTACATAGTGTATCATATATCCGACAATATTTGTACACAAAGCGACAAATACTTCATTAATCAAAGTGTGAATAGTGTTGAACAAACAGTGCACAAATTAATTTAACTTCGCTAGACAAAATGCTACTTCCGAATTTCCACAGACATTTCGTAAAGCACACACAAAATAACTCATATTTATTTACAGTTAACTTTGAATAACAGCCATCTGTCACATACATCTGAAAAAAAATTTAATATCACCACTTGTGCAACAGTTTAGTGGTACATTTCCCGATACATAAATACACCATAATTATATTTGTGACTTAATTTTATATCATATGTCAAATATAAGCCAATCTCAAAATGTTCAGTTTCAGCCAATATTATCTGTGTATAACATATTAGCCAATATCAAATACTTATTATATATCAGCCAATATTAAATGTTAATTACATATTAGCCAATATCAAATACTTATTCAATATTAGGCAATATGAAATACTTCTTAAATTTCAGCCACTATTTACTGTGTATTACATTTTAGCCAATATCAAATACTTCTTAGATATCAGCCAAGTTTAACTGTGTATAACATATTAGCTAATATCAAATACTTATTTAAAATAAGCCAATATTAAATGTTAATTACATATAAGCCAAAATCAAATACTTATTAAATATCAGCCAAGTTTAACTGTGTATTACATATTAGCCAATATTAAATACTTATTTAATATCAGCCAATATAAATTGTTTATTACATTTTAGCCAATATCAAATATTCATTAAATATTAGCCAATATTAAATCTTTATTTTTAATAGACAATAGATTCACCGTATGAGACTTTCGAGCGGAAAATATTCCTAATTGGAGGCACGTGAAAATTGACAGTATTTTATAAGCGCATGTGACGTGTACTTACATTAATTTATTTCTTAATTACTATCCCACATCATTATTTTAACATTGATGCAATTATTGCAAAATAACGAGCGCATAGGGCCTTTACACGATATACACAGACATAAAGCTGTAATTGTTTTATAAGACAAAAAAGACTCAGAAAATAAATAACCTATGTATGTTATGTAGACTATGAAATACTTTATTACTGTTCACTACCACAACACTGCGTTCGCAACATAGATATCTTTTTTTATAGAAAGCCAATATTCATATATAATAGCAAGCATTAACATTAAATGTCTTACAACATATTTCACATCACTATGACAAGTATATATCATGGAATCTAACAATTAAACACTTACAGATAACGTAAGTTAAATCCCTACACAAAACTAAACAACAAATTCACTCGACAACTTAGAAAACAGCGAATCTTTAAGGGCGTTTCACGTTAACCTGTTGCACGTCGCGCATGCGCTGTATTGTCAAGGTTACAAATAGTTGAGGCGAACAGAGATGTAAATAAAATCCATACAGTATGCGTTTCAAGGCAACAGCTTGCGTAGCATATATTAGTGTAATGACATACATAATTGAGCCGTGCCATGACAAAACCAACATAATGGGTTTGCGACCAGCATGGATCCAGACTAGCCTGCGCATCCGCGCAGTCTGATCAGGATCTATGCTGTTCGCTATCAGTTTCTCTACTTGTTATAGGGTTTGTAAGCGAACAGCATGGATCCTGATCAGACTGCGCGGATGCGCAGGCTGGTCTGGATCCATGCTGGTCGCAAACCCATTATGTTGGTTTTGTCGTGACGCGGCTCATATAATGGTGCGTTATATCAGAGATATGTTATCTATGTCTCTGGGGTTTTTTTTTAGAGAAGCCTTGTGAGATTGTATTTCCATAATTTATGGATGAAATATTAATATTTATATGCAATATTAACGTTTCATGTGTCATCTAGCAACTCTGACTAATAATTTTAACTAGTTTTTATTGATTATCATTGCATGTACTTTGATATATATATACAAGTATATAAATGCATGATATTGTGTTCTGATAGGGGTCATATGATGCGTAGTCTTTCCTGTTTAGGAATAAAAAATGACTGTGACATACGATATTTACATGAAATGTACGTCATCTTTATTCGTATTACGAAAGACCAGTGGGAATATTTTCCGATTTAATATTCGTGAATTCACTATTATAACTTCGTGAATTCACGTTTTCAGCATACAGAATTCATGGATTCACGATTTTAACTTCATTAATTCAAGATTTCAACATCACGAATTCACGATTTTAACTTAATGAATTCACGATTTCAATTTCACGAATTCAACTTAATTCGCGACTTCATGATTTCAACTTCACGAATTGACGATTTCAACTTTACATATTCACAAATTCAACTTCATAAATTCAAGTTTTGAACTTTACAAATTTAATTAAGATTTTATCTTCACGAAGTTGACATCGTTAATTCACGCAATTGAAATAGGGAATTGACGAAGTTAAAAAATCGTAAAATTCATGAAGCTGAATCCGTTTAGCTGAAATTATTGAAATCGTGAATTCGTGAAGTTGAAATCGTGAAATCGCAAGTTCATATATAACGTCAATTTGCGAAGTTGAATTCGTGAATTCTGTATGTTGAATTCGTGAAATTAAAAAATTGAAATTATGAATTCATAAAGATGAACCCGAGAATTCAAGAAGTTAAAATGTTAAAACCGGTCGGCTCACCTAACCGGGCTTTCCCGATGGATTACTCCGCAAGTAACCGATAACTAATCCCACATAGGAGACGAAAGCCTGTTACACACCGAGAAGTAATTCCGCCTACATTGACATTTATGTGTCTCGCGGTTTAATATCACTAGTTATATATTTAGATATTTGCCCCTGTGTGTATATTATACATGTATGTAACAAACATTAGAAATTATAGAAACGACTGTTTGACACTGCACTGTAAACATAATAATTTGATTTCTAAAGACAGGCAATTGAGATGGAACTATGTTTTTTTTCTTGAAAAGAAATGTCTGATAATAAACTTTCTGAAAGCCAGTATAATCATCTACAACATACACTGAAAGCAGCATGCCTCCAGATCCATGCTAGTTTTCATTTTTATCCCCCCCCCCCTTCCCCCCCAACAATCCCGTCACTCCCATTCCTCCATCCCACCTCCTCCTCCTCTTTATCAAACAATCTCTGTAATACAAATATATGCATTATCACAAACGAGGGATGCTCAGAAATATCCAGAATTAGGCCATAGATTCAATAATACAAGTTCAGATCAAAATACTATATTAATGCACATTAATTATGCCTCGAAAACATACTGTCCTAATCGTTAATAATGACAATTATCAGAGTTACTAGTTTAAGATAATTCCGGGAAATTCTGGATCATTCCTCGTACAGAACAGGCCTATCTAGTTTGTTATTTGACGTGTTGCCATTTATAGCTGATATATATATATATTCCCACGCGACGAAACCGGAAGCTTTATGACTGGATATTCACGTTCCTTTTAATTTGTTACTTTATTCATGAACATAAATAGGCAATTTTGATAAAATTTCCTGTTGCAAATATACATGCACGTGTACTAATGAGATTTGAGCTATAAATAAATGATAAATCAGAAACATAAACATTTTTATCACATGGTTTTGCACGGCCGTGCATATATTTTGACGTGCATATATTTTGAGTAAAGAACCGCTAACTGTTTGCTTTAGATTATACTATATAGGAGCGCCAATGCAGAAAACGATTCTTTTTCACTTTAAACCGTCTTTATTTCGGCTATGTGATTATTGAATTGAATATTATATACATGCAGGTTTATTACTGAATTTATTGAACTCGTTGAATGAAACAATATTATTTAACTTCTTAAATAAATTCAGTATTGAACTTACACTCATTCAATATCCTTTATATCACGACAGATTCCCGTGGCAGGTCAAACCTTTATAAAGCGGCCGGTCAAAACTGACATGTACAATACGCGGTTCCGTGTTTCATACAGGTTTAAATTACTATATCTATATATGTATATTAATGATCACTTTAAATTATCTGTATCGGTCACGTTACTGCATTTGTAGATTTGGCTGCTAATTTTAGGTGACCATTTAGAACAGATTGTCCTGCATTATGAAAAGTTTCAGAAATATGCTATTATTCTTTATTCAATTATATGATGCATAGAAGGTGTAGGGTGTCTCATTTTCACCGACATAGACTTCCCGCCCGTAAGAAACAGGAAGATGCATAGTGTATGTCAAAATCTGTACATATTTATCTCTGTAAATCAGCAATTTTATGCTAAAAACGTGTATGCTCTTACAATTTAGTTTAGAAGGTTATTTACCGGTAATTTACAGATTATTATCGGAACTGATAAGAAGTAAATTGAAATGTAATTAAGATTAGTTTCACTCGCTTGTGATGGAAGTTTAACCAGTTCATGTCCTGGAATTCACCATAATTATGAAGTCAAGAAACAGATGATAATCGTGACCTCAGATATGGGTTTGTGTTGGCTTTTGTAGTTTACTCACTTGATCACGGCAGCAACCGGTGAAACCTGGCCCCATTGTTTTATCTTTATCCGTAGTTGAACACGCTTAGGTCTTAGTTGAACGTTTTAATGAAAATATTTATAACCTTAGGTAATATTTGAAATTAATTACAGCCTCGTTTGACTAATCATTCTTACACTTGAGGACCAATGATTCTCAATAAAATTTTATAAACGTAGTGCTACGTTTATTAGTGAGTAAATTCATGGTCAATTGTATGGTCAATAATTTTTTTATTGTATAAAGTACAATTGTTGCGGCAATGTCAAGAACGGACTCAAAGGCGCTCATGATGGATACCTTGCCATATAATAACTAATGAATTCTTAGTTACGTATTGTTTACTTATTTATAAAGATTATTTAACTACTTGATTAAAGGGACTCCACTGAGGTTTTTTGACATGATGGGACTGAAAATATTTTTTTCCAGATAAATGTACCATTTGATGAAGGTTTAGACCACTGATCTTTGTACAAAATTTCAGAACATTCGCGCACTTTGTTTTTCCAGAATAATTATTCAAATTGTAAAAAACGGCCCCCAATGAAGTGTTTACTCAATCGCGCTAAGAAAAGCATAAAATACGATTTGCAATTTATTTCAAAGTATATTTCTAAATTATCTTTGCAGATATTTCTGTTTTAAGTGCCGCAGCTCAGTTATTTAAGAATTTCAAATGTTATGTTTTTAGGCTTTTAAACCTCAGTGGAGTTTCTTAAATATGTGCCTGCAATTTAGGTATAGAACCACTAAATGTATTAAAATCTAGGTGGTCACAGAATCCCTGCAAGTATTTGTGATACATTTTCAAACAACTTACTTTCTCACTCAGTTAATTCGTTTTATAACTTAAATGTTAATTATTTTCATGAATAAACAAACATTTTGACTGTTTTGCGAAAAATATTTCCGTTGCGCCCGAAGTGCAAAAAAAAAAAAAAAAATCACCGTTGCGTATTTTAGTCATACCTTGAATTTGGTTCCCGTCATTAGAAGATAGACTGGCTCATTGACACGTTATTTATTAGGTAAATAAAATTAGATAATGATAACAAGATTATGATATTCGAACATGGCACTTTCACTTTAGTTAAACGTTTATTTTAATTTCTTAAAGCTTGTCAGAAAAGCTATTCATATTATAAAATTTGAAAAAAAAAACAACAAAAAATACACAAAAGAAACTAAAACTGTCCCCATTGCTGAGTAGACGATTGCATATCTACTAGACGCCGCATGTACGCGGCGTGTAATATTTTTAAGCTATGTTTTAGGTCTGCATTATCTAAGTGACAACCCAGGGTGACACCAGTCCGTATCCAAAGGTCATGATTTATGTCACTCTTGTGGAGGTCAACTAAGCAATGCTACATGCCTAATATCTAAGCTCTAGACACAATGAAACATGCTATCCTGTATAAGTTTATCTTAACTAAGTGACCTCCCCCACCCGGACAATATTAATGACAGGGACATGACTAATATCAGTTTTGTGGAGGTTCACACGACAATGCTACATGCCAAATAAGTAGTATAGGCGTCTCTTTAACGCCACGACTGCGCATGCGCGGCGCCATATTGGATTCTATTTTTAGAATGACATTATCGTTCTATTTTTAGAATGACATCATCTGTCTATTTTTAGAATGACATTATTGTTCTATTTTTAATCTCCCGGAAGTATACGGAGCTGACTTGTATACCCGATTTAGGGCGTGAATTGCGGACATTGAGGGTCAGGTCCTCGGCCCAAGACGGAGAGATAAAATTAGTATCCAAGCATTTTAAAATTGAATGGCAAAAATAATGATTCCCTTTGTTTTTATATTTCCCACACTGCGTACAGTGTACTTGACAACTGATTTAATTATTACTTTTAATCAATGTTCTCTATAATACACGTTTAATTTAACTCAAATAACTAACATTTTAAATGTATTTCTTCATATTTAAAATATACCCTTAATACATAATTTATCTTATACATTTTCAAATAAGGTTATTAACATATTTATTTTAAGTATTTCTTTATAAACATTTAATAAAAATATTACCTCTTTACTTCTTAAGCTCCAGCAACGAAATGACTCCAATATTAAAAGTATTATCCCTTAATGCGCATGCTTGGATCTGATGACGTCACCAATGCAATAAAACAAGCTCCAACATGTCGCGCGTCTATTTATTTAAGGCCGACTGGGCGGACAATTCAAAGTAAACATGTTAAATTTGATCCTTTTAAAGTCGCCGCACTGTTTGGCGTGTGTTGATTTAAGAGCAGATGTGCGGACAAAAGGCTATTCAGGTGTCAAAATTAATCCATTCAGAATGTCAACAATGTCTGGCGTATGTTGATTTAAGAGCAGATGTGCGGACAATAGGCTATTCAACTGTCAAAATGAATCCCTTTAAATTCGCCGCGATGTTTGGCGTCTTGTTTATTTAGGGACGAATACTTTAACAAAGGTTCATTTAACTGTCAAAATTAATTCCTTTAAAGTCGCCGCAATGTTTGGCGTCTTGTTTATTTAGGGAAGAATACTTTAATAATGGTCTATTCATGTGCCAAGGCTAGCTTGTTTACATTATTTGGCGTGTGTTGATTTAAGTTCGAAAGAGTTAACAAAGGTCCATTTAACTATTAAAATGAATCTCTTTAAAGTTGCCATTTGGTCTGGCGTATGTTTATTTAGGAACGGATATGCGGACAATGCTCCATTCAAAAGTTTATCCGTCTAAAGTAAAAGCAGGTTAGCAAATAAGCTATTGTAGTGTCAGTTTACCACTGGGGTATAATTTTAAACTCATTTTGGAAAAGAAATGCCAACATGTTTTTAAAACTGATCACCACATAAAAAAAACTATTATCAATGGTCACTAAAACCGAACAAAAATACAACAGAAAAAGCGTTTTTCGTCTTTTGTGCAACATTTTACGATATACATTTTGATTTTTTTCGCATAAAATGGTAAACCTGACAGAATGCTTCGAAATAAACCCAAGGTTCTCAATTCGATTTTTAGGCGTTCTCGAGTTATGGCCCTTTATCGATTTTTAAACTATTTTTTAAAAGTCCATAAAACCCTTAGATTTATATGCCGTTTGAAAGATCTCTGCGAGTAGATACAGAAAATGTATTATTATATGGTTCTGTCTTTTACCGTTTCTGAGATAGGAGAGTTTGAATATGGCAGACAAAATCACTCATGCATCAGCCAATGAAATTGAAAAACGATGACGTCTAACAATAGACAGCCTCGTTTTGAACCCAGTCATTTTCATTAACCAATGAAAAGTGGAGAAGAATGACTGGATAAATTTTGACATAAAAAACGCCTTTTTGTATTTTATGCAACACTTTACGATATCGATTTTCAAGATTTTGTTTCATTTGATAGACCTTACCAAATGCTTCAAAATAAACCCTAGGTTCTCGATTCGATTTTAAGCCGTTCTCGAGTTATGGCCCTTTAGCGATTTTTAAACCATTTTTTCAAAGTCCATAAAACCCTTATATTTATGTACCAATGGAAAGATCTCTGCGAGTAGATAAGAAAATGTATTATTATATGGTTCTATTTCTTACCGTTTCTGAGATAGGAGAGTTTGAATATGGCAGACAAAATCACTCATGCATATAAATACGTATAACGTTTTTGTTACTGGACATAACATAGGCATGTTGCGTATCAAACGAAAGGTCTTGACAAATGCTACGAGCTCGTACTGTGAAACCGAGAGTGAAATCACTCATGCGTAAAAAAACATTAAAATAACTAAAATAAGCTTACCCCAGTCTTTACTCCTCGCCTATCAAACTATTTATGACAAGTTACGACAGGTTTAAACCGGTATTGCTATTTTTGATCAGCCAATGAAATTGAAAAACGATGACGTCTAACAATAGACAGCCTCGTTTTGAACCCACTCTTTTTCATTAACCAATGAAAAGTGGAGAAGGATGACTGGGTAAATTTTGACATAAAAAAACGCCTTTTCGTCTTTTATGCAACACTTTACAATATCGATTTTCAAGATATTTGTTTCATTTGATAGACCTTACCAAATGCTTCAAAATAAACCCTAGGTTCTCGATTCGATTTTAAGCCGTTCTCGAGTTATGGCCCTTTAGCGATTTTTAAACCAATTTTCAAAAGTCCATACAACCGTGAAATGTATATGCCGTTTGAAAGATCTCTGCGACCAGATACAGAAAATGTATTATTATATGGATCTATCTTTTACCGTTTCTGAGATAGGAGAGTTTGTATATGGCAGACAAAATCACTCATGCGGAAAAACGCGCATAACTTTTTCGTATATGAACGAAGCATAGTCTAGTTTGGTATCAAATTGAAGGTCTTGACGAGTACATTTTACTTACGCGATCAAACCGGATGTTAAGTCATTCGTGCGTGAAATTCATTTATTCTCCCAAACCAACGGACCGATCTTATCAATACCTGTATCGAACGAAAGTTATTACTCACTAAATTCAGAAAATGTATATTTTTGTATCGCTGACTCGGATAGGACACGAGATATGAAGTAAAATCACTCAAGCGTAAAATGTGGATTGACGCCTTCCTTAGTCAATATAACCCGGTCATGTTTGGTATCGTACGAAATGTTTTAAGGTGCTCTTTATGAATACGGACTAAAAATCACTAGTGCATAACATAAATAGATGAATAACGTCATGCCAAAAATAGCAGCCAATCAGATTTTAATACGTGTGTATAAAAAAAGAATGTTTTTCTGCGTATATTTTATCACTGGAAACAGGATTTGTCTTCTATTTATCTCCTGCTCCACCGCCGCCGCCGCCGCCACCGCCGCCGCCGCCACCGCCGCCGCCGCCGCCGCCACCACCACCACCACCACCACCGTTGTCACCACCACAACCGTCGTCACCACCACAACCAAGCTTCTGGTAGGAATCGCATTTCTTGACGCTACTTCATCGGTCTTATTCAAATAAGATCTTCCTCCTATCATTAGATTTCCAACTTCGTGATAAAACTTTATACCTGAATAAAGATAGAGATAGACGTTCATATCACACATGATTGACACATAAGAAGTGTAGAAAGAAACTAAGCAATACTCAACGGACGCGCATGAATGATTGTAGTCCATTAATTGGTAATTTTCAATTTTTTGACATTTCTAGAATTGCACACCCTTCCTATTAATATGAAAGAGATTATCGATTACATATATTTCTGGAACTATAACTCTCGTATGCAGCGAACATTGGCCTTATAATATATATATGTAGAATAGATTAATTGTGATATTGAATTTATTATCACAACTATGCTGATATGTTTGTTTGCTTCCATACGAAAAGATAATTAAACAATGATCCCTACCAGACTGTTGTTCGAGGTCCCTGTAGCGCTGGATTGATTCTCGTGCTAAAGTTGCCCACACGACATCTTTATCCATACATCGTGTTATTCTACCCTCGTCAAAATAGGAACCATCAATTCCGCTAGTCTTATCAGAGCCTCTATCCTGAAATGATTATTTTATTATTTCAATTATAAATAGATGTTCTAAAATATATATAACTTATGTTGTAGATTACTAGTGTTTTAAATGAACCATAACCTTACTGAATATCCGCTAGTAACTTGCTCGACTTTTGCCTCAGGACCGTACAATTGGACATAACGAGGGATTATGGGATATCAGTATGAAAATTTTTATGCTAAAAACTAGCCAAATCGTGCAATGTAATTTAACTGCAATTTCAAAACAAACAAAAATATTTGTTACATTATCTATTACCTGATTAAATATGTAATCTCAAAGCGAAAATTGATGAACTACATGTTGACAATAACATGCCGCTTTTATATATCCCTTAAACTACTGATTTAGGCACACTTCTTTTTATTTATTTTTTTAACTTTAAAATAATAATCTGTCATCCATTTGACTTTGGATGGAATCAAAGTTAACAAGTACTTACCTTTTGTTCTGTTGGTCCTATTAAACACGTGTTTAGACCGGAAGTGACTGTTGCATGCCGGGCAGCAGCCGACCCAATCATTCCAGCTCCAATAATACACAAGTCATACATTGTTTTATGATATTAAACAATGATATTATATAAACACATTGGAGAAGTCGACTATTTAAACTAAATTAAAAGGCCTTTCTGAACCTTGAAATGTGTGCTTTTGAATAACTTAGTGATAGGCCTATGCATAATCATGCATGCAGCTGTTTATCGTAATGTGTCAACTGTCTAGGGCGTAGGTTGTGTTTCAGGTTTCTCTACCCCTATCTCTCAATTATTATATTAATAAAAAAACAATGTAAAGAACACTTGCAGTATGAACATCAAAAATTGTTCACATTAGAAAACTATTAAATAAACTTGTATACATAAGTTGCTTAAACCTTGAAATTTTAAGACATTTCCATCACCAGAAACTGTCTATGCATGTGCAGAAAGTATTGTTCCTTTTTATGTTACTGGGATATAATTATATCCAGAATAATTATTTCAGATCAAGTTAAACGTAGTCGAACATAAATATACATACTATTTTTTTCAATACTCTACCACAAAATTTCTATAGTATTCAGTAATCATTCCATGTATAAGTACAAAAATACTACACTATTCACAATTGCAACCACTCAACCCTTCCGTCAGTCTTGGATAAGGACCTCGAACACAAAAGTATGAATTCACAGAACGGATGCGGTATTTCGGTGTAACCTACGCTAAGAAAGTAATCATGTTAACAAATAGTAATTTAATGCTGGAATTAAAGTTGTTGAAAAGTTCATTTCAAATATTTGTTGTAAAAATCCACCTAAAATAAGTGAATTCATACTTTTGTGTTCGAGGTATAAAGTTTTATCACGAAGTAGGAAATCTAATGATAGGAGGAAGATCTTATTTGAATAAGACCGATGAAGTAGCGTCAAGAAATGCGATTCCTACCCAGAAGCTTGGTTGTGGTGGTGACGACGGTTGTGGTGGTGACGACGGTGGTGGTGGTGGTGGTGGCGGCGGTGGCGGCGGCGGTGGTGGCGGCGGCGCGCGGCGGCGGCGGCAGCGGCAGCGGCGGCGGTGGAGCAGGAGATAAATAGAAGACAAATCCTGTTCCAGTGATAAAGTATACGCAGAAAAACATTCTTTTTTTATACACACGTATTAAAATCTGATTGGCTGCTATTTTTGGCATGACGTTATTCATCTATTTATGTTATGCACTAGTGATTTTTAGTCCGTATTCATAAAGAGCACCTTAAAACATTTCGTACGATACCAAACATGACCGGGTTATATTGACTAAGGAAGGCGTCAATCCACATTTTACGCTTGAGTGATTTTACTTCATATCTCGTGCCCTATCCGAGTCAGCGATACAAAAATATACATTTTCTGAATTCAGTGAGTAATACCTTTCGTTCGATACAGGTATTGATAAGATCGGTCCGTTGGTTGGGGAGAATAAATGAATTTCACGCACGAGTGACTTAACATCCGGTTTGATCGCGTAAGTAAAATGTACTCGTCAAGACCTTCAATTTGATACCAAACTAGACTATGCTTCGTTCATATACGAAAAAGTTATGCGCGTTTTTCCGCATGAGTGATTTTGTCTGCCATATACAAACTCTCCTATCTCAGAAACGGTAAAAGATAGATCCATATAATAATACATTTTCTGTATCTGGTCGCAGAGATCTTTCAAACGGCATATACATTTCACGGTTGTATGGACTTTGAAAATTGGTTTAAAAATCGCTAAAGGGCCATAACTCGAGAACGGCTTAAAATCGAATCGAGAACCTAGGGTTTATTTTGAAGCATTTGGTAAGGTCTATCAAATGAAACAAATATCTTGAAAATCGATATTGTAAAGTGTTGCATAAAAGACGAAAAGGCGTTTTTTTATGTCAAAATTTACCCAGTCATCCTTCTCCACTTTTCATTGGTTAATGAAAAAGAGTGGGTTCAAAACGAGGCTGTCTATTGTTAGACGTCATCGTTTTTCAATTTCATTGGCTGATCAAAAATAGCAATACCGGTTTAAACCTGTCGTAACTTGTCATAAATAGTTTGATAGGCGAGGAGTAAAGACTGGGGTAAGCTTATTTTAGTTATTTTAATGTTTTTTACGCATGAGTGATTTCACTCTCGGTTTCACAGTACGAGCTCGTAGCATTTGTCAAGACCTTTCGTTTGATACGCAACATGCCTATGTTATGTCCAGTAACAAAAACGTTATACGTATTTATATGCATGAGTGATTTTGTCTGCCATATTCAAACTCTCCTATCTCAGAAACGGTAAGAAATAGAACCATATAATAATACATTTTCTTATCTACTCGCAGAGATATTTCCATTGGTACATAAATATAAGGGTTTTATGGACTTTGAAAAAATGGTTTAAAAATCGCTAAAGGGCTATAACTCGAGAACGGCTTAAAATCGAATCGAGAACCTAGGGTTTATTTTGAAGCATTTGGTAAGGTCTATTAAATGAAACAAAAATCTTGAAAATCGATATCGTAAAGTGTTGCATAAAAGACAAAAAGGCGTTTTTTATGTCAAAATTTATCCAGTCATTCTTCTCCACTTTTCATTGGTTAATGAAAATGACTGGGTTCAAAACGAGGCTGTCTATTGTTAGACGTCATCGTTTTTCAATTTCATTGGCTGATCAAAAATAGCAATACCGGTTTAAACCTGTCGTAAATTGTCATAAATAGTTTGATAGGCGAGGAGTAAAGACTGGGGTAAGCTTATTTTAGTTATTTTAATGTTTTTTACGCATGAGTGATTTCACTCTCGGTTTAACAGTACGAGCTCGTAGCATTTGTCAAGACCTTTCGTTTGATATGCAACATGCCTATGTTATGTCCAGTAACAAAAAAGTTATACGTATTTATATGCATGAGTGATTTTGTCTGCCATATTCAAACTCTCCCATCTCAGAAACAGTAAAAGATAGAACCATATAATAATACATTTTCTGTATCTACTCGCAGAGATCTTTCAAACGGCATATAAATCTTAGGGTTTTATGGACTTTTAAAAAATAGTTTAAAAATCGATAAAGGGCCATAACTCGAGAACGCCTAAAAATCGAATCGAGAACCTTGGGTTTATTTCGAAGCATTCTGTCAGGTTTACCATTTTATGCGAAAAAAATCAAAATGTATATCGTAAAATGTTGCACAAAAGACGAAAAACGCTTTTTCTGTTGTATTTTTGTTCGGTTTTAGTGACCATTGATAATAGTTTTTTTTATGTGGTGATCAGTTTTAAAAACATGTTGGCATTTCTTTTCCAAAATGAGTTTAAAATTATACCCAAGTGGTAAACTGACACTACAATAGCTTTTTTTGCTAACCCGCTTTTACTTTAGACCGATAAACTTTTGAATGGAGCATTGTCCGCATATCCGTTCCTAAATAAACATACGCCAGACCAAATGGCAACTTTAAAGAGATTCATTTTAATAGTTAAATGGACCTTTGTTAACTCTTTCGAACTTAAATCAACACACGCCAAATAATGTAAACAAGCTAGCCTTGGCACATGAATAGACCATTATTAAAGTATTCTTCCCTAAATAAACAAGACGTCAAACATTGCGGCGACTTTAAAGGAATTAATTTTGACAGTTAAATGAACCTTTGTTAAAGTATTCGTCCCTAAATAAACAAGACGCCAAACATCGCGGCGAATTTAAAGGGATTCATTTTGACAGTTGAATAACCTATTGTCCGCACATCTGCTCTTAAATCAACATACGCCAGACATTGTTGACATTCTGAATGGATTAATTTTGACACTTGAATAGCCTTTTGTCCGCACATCTGCTCTTAAATCAACACACGCCAAACAGTGCGGCGACTTTAAAAGGATCAAATTTAACATGTTTACTTTGAATTGTCCGCCCAGTCGGCCTTAAATAAATAGACGCGCGACATGTTGGAGCTTGTTTTATTGCATTGGTGACGTCATCAGATCCAAGCATGCGCATTAAGGGATAATACTTTTAATATTGGAGTCATTTCGTTGCTGGAGCTTAAGAAGTAAAGAGGTAATATTTTTATTAAATGTTTATAAAGAAATACTTAAAATAAATATGTTAATAACCTTATTTGAAAATGTATAAGATAAATTATGTATTAAGGGTATATTTTAAATATGAAGAAATACATTTAAAATGTTAGTTATTTGAGTTAAATTAAACGTGTATTATAGAGAACATTGATTAAAAGTAATAATTAAATCAGTTGTCAAGTACACTGTACGCAGTGTGGGAAATATAAAAACAAAGGGAATCATTATTTTTGCCATTCAATTTTAAAATGCTTGGATACTAATTTTATCTCTCCGTCTTGGGCCGAGGACCTGACCCTCAATGTCCGCAATTCACGCCCTAAATCGGGTATACAAGTCAGCTCCGTATACTTCCGGGAGATTAAAAATAGAACAATAATGTCATTCTAAAAAGAGACAGATGATGTCATTCTAAAAATAGAACGATAATGTCATTCTAAAAATAGAATCCAATATGGCGCCGCGCATGCGCAGTCGTGGCGTTAAAGAGACGCCTATACTACTCAAATATATAAGCTGTGTTTTTGTTGTTGTTTTTGTTTTTGTTTCACAGAATAAGACTAAAATATGTTAACCTGTATAAAAGGCTCTATAAAGTCTATATTTAAATCAAATGACCACAGGTGCTGGGCCAATATTGACCCAAGGGGCATGATTACGTATTATCACTTTCTTAAAGGTCCTTAAGACAATGCTACATGCCCAATATTTAAGCTCTTGACATTGAAGTTTCACAAAATAAGACTTAAATGTGTTTATCTATAAGGCCTATATATTTCAAGTTATTTTTTTTTTCAATTTTGATCTGTTTTCTAAGGTTTATGAAAGCTCGTTATTTTGTACCATACTGTGCGTCTCACATAATTTGTCTTTACGACATCCGTTTTCTCATCGGCAACACAGCCAATGGAAAATTACATTAGTCTTTAATTTATGAAAGTACTGTGTAATTCGTTGGCGATCAAGTTTACAAGAATAACCGTCCTTAGGTAGCGGGAAACTGAAAGCTTTTCTTCAGTCGCCAGGAATCAGGATCGTGTAAAAATCTATTGAAGTAAAGCGGTTACAAGTGATTTTTTTAAAAATACAACGCGAGGAATATTGTCAATGCAATATGTAGATTTATATTTGGTTGCCATAACTACATTTGCGTGTTCCTCAGTGGTTAATATCTCCATTAATGGTTTCATTTGAAGTATAAAGTGGGTCATTGATATTCATTTCTTATAATTGTTTATTGTTTGTGTATTAATGCCCTGTCAAAGGATTCGCCACTAAATCCATTAGTGTTTACCCCAATTTTAAAGATTGTCAAACTCTCACCTCCATTGTCCGTGTACATCCATCTGATTTCGTAAACTCACTGTCAACAACTTCCTCTGGTATCAAAGGGCCCTGACAGGAATTCATTTAAATAATGTCCCGGAATTCATTAAAATTATGTGTTGGCGTCGTTTCAATTTGCTCTGTTACTGAAGTACGAGTACATGTACTTGCATGTAAATATTGCATACGTTTAACATTACGGATTATACATGTAAACTTTATCAAATTTATGATTTTTGTTATAAACAACTTTGTTTTCGCAACTTATTAATTCAAAAGGTTAGATATATATGTTTATCAATTAATTTAGTTAAAATAAAAATAAAGCGTTGAATACTGTAACAAGATAAATTGATAATCAAAGATCGATCAACTTGATTCAAATAAAAAACTTTATGATGTAATATCACTCACAAGAATTAATCGATGTTAACAAGTGTATTAAAATACGCTACATAGATGTTTCAGCAAAATCCATTGAGAAATTGAGCAGTTGAATACGGGATACCGTTAGGGCCAACATGGTTATACATTCTTATGAAGAGGGCAACAATGCGACAGTGCGATGGCGACAGTGCAATAATGCGATGATGACAGTGCGATAATGATGTGGCGACAGTGCGATAATGCGATGGCGGCAATACGATAGTGCGATAATAATATCGCATCGCAAAACATCGCACTATCGTACTATCTCCATCGCACTACCGCATTGTATAACCACGATGGTCCTAACGGTATTCCATAGTTGGCCAGTAAAGCTAGAACCACATATCATGTCACACATACTGATGTATTAACATAACAAATTAAAAGAAAAGACCACAGCACTTTAAAAACCGTCCGTTGCATAAAAAATCTCCGTTACGAATATTAGTCATACCTTGTGATGACAGTTTTCACAGTTTTCTAATTTAACGCACACCGATGAAAAAATGTCAAAGTAAATAAACAAGTTATTTACAAAGTTTTATCGGCAAGAGATTTCAGAAATTGTGAAATGTAGGTATAAGTAGTCGATTATCACGTTAATTAAACTTACCTCACAATTAATCACAACAGATAAACACTGAATTTTCAGCAAATTTTGTTAAATATAATATATTTCGGACGTAACATATTCGGATATTATTACATTTTTTTCACTTTTGTTTTAAAAGAAGACTACATCAATAAGATTAACAGAGAGTACTTGTTATAGCGCAGATTTGAATTTATTTTTCACAGATTATATGTTAAATAAATAGTGGAAGCAAGGTCGTCAAAATCTAATTTTGACTTACTTGGCCGTTTTATCTTATTTTTTTTTTATTGTTCGTATCACAGATATATATACAATGGATAGAAAATTTCAAAAATAGATAGTAGTCAGATTTAGACCCCAAATCCTTTGCGCGCTTCTGTGATAATGGGGTTTTACCACTAGTGTCCGATTTTTAAGCTCTCGTTAAACTTTGGCGATATCCGTGATTTTTTGTTTACATTGTTGACATGGAACATGATGGATTTTCATCGGAGAAATATTTGTATGGAAAAGTGTTTATTGTACATTTAAGAATAAATAACTATTGCTTCTTACAATATATATATATACAATGTATATAAGTAGAAAATGCTACATCTTTTTTCGTCTCTGGGAATTCAATAATCAATATGGCGGTATTTTGGCTACTTTTACCAAGGATGCATCAAATCTCAAACAAATCCCCTGACATATGATAACTTGCGTCAACACAATTCCCCAGATACTGACATACATGTGATATCCCGGCGGGATTTAAAAATATCCCGATATTTTCACACTGATCCGGATTCCCGATATTACAGCTTGAATTCCCGATATTTAAAAAAAATCAACATAAAAAAAGTCAAACACAGCACCTGTATCTAAAATGTAAACCGTGCCTCCGGGCATTGATTGTTATCTGTCCATATCCTATATTATAGCGGATTAAATGTTGAGTGGTAAATTGACAGCAAGGTGACGTAATTAACACTTCCATCACCCAAAGTTATTCTCACATGTTTAACTTAACACGTGTCTTGTGTCAGTCAATTTACCTCTTTTATAATTTGGCAGCAGGTATTACACGCTACGTCATCAAAACGACCCTGTAAATTTACACAAACCTGATTTTCTTTGATTAGTGCCGCACTGATAAAGATTAAAGGTGAGCAGAATCATTTAAAGTGTATCATTCAAAAACCTGTTTGAGATGCGGCAAAACCATGCCTAATTAACCTATTTTAAGTGAGTGGGTAATTTTTTTTGTTTTGTTTAGGAAGTACACAATGATCCAGGCAAAAATGTGGGTTTAATTAACTGAACGATTCTTGCATTTATTTTGAGTCTTCTACTTATGTTACGTTTTTTAACTGACATATTCTTATGTTTATGAATAGTTGTTGCACGTTTTCAAATAGCTTGGTTTCAAATTATTAGCCAATTATTGTATGACTGAAAAGACAGATCTAATTATTTAAACAAGAAAAAAAAATTTAAACTGAAAATAATGAGATGTGAAAATGTGACTGTTTTAGAAATAGCCTGTATGACTACACTTACTTATTTATCTATTTATTTATTTTTTGGTGAAATAAATTAATATTGATCAACAAAAAAATCATAAAAAAATATAATCATTTAATGGTTCTGAGGGTAATATAGATTCTTTGAACCAAATGTGCCAAACATGCATTGAAATTCGAGTCAATATTAATAAAAAAATCCAGTTTTGAGCCTCAAAATCCAGCTGAAAATCCAGATTTGGCCCATTTCATTTGTCACATGTATGTACTGAATTTACACAGTTTTTTCACCATCTATATATAGCTCCATGTCCGTACGCATATCATTGGTGTTCAGTGCATTTATTACAGTTTATTCAAAATGAATGAATTTTTTTTTTGTATTGAGCATTTAAATATGATAAAATTAAATTATTATTTGTAACAACTGTTCAATAAAATCATCATATCAAACTGTCGGAACCTTTTTTCCGATATGCTAAATTCTCAATAAGTAACTGTCACAACAAATTGCTCCCCTTTATTTTTGTTTGGAGTGTTTTCATAGGTCTGAGGTTTTCACATGACCAATGAAAAATGCTGGATTTGAATGATTTTGAAATTTTTCAGATAGTCTTTCCTGCAAGATTTTTTCTTTTCATGTTAGTTTTTTATGGTACAGATAATTAACATGTACATGTCATGTCCACTATTTTTTTTTACATTTCAGAGTCAGACAAAGTTAAGTATGGAAAACTGCCACAGTGTTAATTCATGCAGAAGATCTCTTCCATCGACAATGAACCATTGAGGTATCTTCATACACTGTGAAGCATTGCATTACATTTTATCCACAGTCAAGCATTTAGGCACTTTAAGACAACAAGTGAGATGGGGAATGGCGCATCATTTCTACGTTCTCAAGATGATGATGATATACTCGGTACAGATTTGGATGGAAGCAGTAAAGGTGTCATTAAAAGGATCCCTATTGAGATGAAACCTAGAGGTAAACTTGGTAACAAGATAACAAATTCTGTTCTCCGGAAACCAAAAGGAGGAAGCCTTAGGTATGTATATTTTTTATATCTTTATATAATCTCTTTTATACAATTTATAACATTGTTAGCCAATTGCCTCATCCCCTTAAGCAAAGTTAAATGTATACAATACATTTATAATTTCATTTGAATTTGAATCAACTTTCTTGTCATTGTGTAAACCTTGACGTCCTCCATCATATGTAGAATTGCCATGTTGTAATTTACTAATGACATAAATTTGTATTCTTTTAGTTACCTTTATTTTCATTCACAGGTCGGCTTTATCCATAGATTTAGAAAATCCTGAAGTTGAGCGTATACGTAGAGAATATGAAATTTATCGTCTTAACACAGAAAATGAAATACAGAATACGTCGCGAGAAAAAACTAAACTAGAAACTGACAATAAACGTTTGCGAGCAGAATTGACCGTATTACAACGTACATGTAACAACATGAGACAAGAGAGAGATGCTGCTTACGAAGAAAAACTTCAAGCCTTGGCGAGGGCCGCAGCTTTTGAACATGATAGGGACAAAGTTCAGAGAGTATTTAAGGTGAGTGTTTCTGTAGCCACTCAGTTTATCAAGACTAAATTTAAAGTCTGGTTCACATTATATATGTTTCGGAAAATATCTGAGTGTCAGTCCAGTGTTGGTACATGTATGTATATGTCAGTTTTAAGCCAAATATTAGTTAAATTTAAGTTTCAAATATTTATTATTTATTTTCATTTTTAAGGTTAAAGTTGTTATATATTTAAATATTAATGAATTTTTATGACATGAGGATCCTCTATGCTGACTTCAAACCACTCTTATATTTTCACTTGTGACTACGCCACTTGAAAAAATATATTAAATCTGGTGTTAACTCTGTGAAATGAATTTCTATCTTAAATGCAAAACAAGCAAATATCCTCTATGTTTATTATGATTAATGTTTATGTAACAGATATTTCGAGAAACAAAGGAGAGTGAGATACAGAATTTACTGCGAGCAAAACGAGAACTAGAGAATAAATTGAGCAAGGTTGCCCATGGTTACTTACCAGAAGATACTGATACCACATCTAGAACCGGCATTGACAGTATGTCTTTATTTCTACAATAAAGATATATGTTAATTTAAGAAATAATGACTTTAAAACCATGATGTCAGGATTATTTATGTGAAATATTAATAGAAAAAGCCATGTTTAAATTTTACAATATTGCAAAGTTTGGAGATACCGGATTTTTATACACCACTGAACATTGGAAATGTTTGATTTAATCCTCATTTCAATTAAAGAAATCCATCATTATACATTATGATTGTTTTTACATGATATTTGACAGTTAATGTATTAAGTTATTTAAATCAGTATTCAGGTATTAAAATCTATTAATTATTGCCTACTGGTTCCTTATGAGGCAGAAGGAGAGGGTTATACAATAAACATATTGTCACTTTAGTGCAATAATGGGTTAGCTCACATTGAAGTTGAATAGAAGTTCATCTGTTACTGCATTAAGATGGCGATATGGATATATGTAATATTTGTTATCCTTCAGGTAACAGTAGTCCGGGTGATTGGTGGACGAACGTTGAGTCTGAGTCATCTATGGGTAGTACTGTACAGTTACATCAGAGCACGCTGAGAGGACCGGAGTTTGCCAGCAGTATGATGGAGTTTGATGGACCGTTCACTAATGTTAATAAAGGTTTGATCCTCTGTTTTTAAATATTTACTCCCCCTTGTTGTTAAGGGGTTATCTTTTAAGGGTTCAGGCATCAGAATTGCAGCCATCGTTTATACATACATGATTGTAAGTCACAAATTGGTTATGTAATTGTTTTTGGTATCTTAACCCTAAAAACTGGAGGTTATGGGGTTGGTTCAGTATGGATTATGTTCAATTCTTTAAATATTGGGGCATTCATCTTACAATTTAGGTAGTTTTTATATAGTATCATAAACATTTTCCAATTATCAATAAGCATTATCCGGAATTCGGCAAAGTGGGTTTTTCCAAGCTAATCTGTAGGTACATGTACAAACTAACTTTTACTATTATAGCTTCAGGGTGCACTACCCATCACAATAGATCAGTCAACCTGTTTCGATTATTATCAAAGCTGTTACTTTAAAAGTTTGTTTGCACCTACGTTATTAGCTTTGAATTACCCAAATATTCTTAATTCCGAAGTAAGTCTACCATTGGTCAGTCACCAATTATGATAGTCAATCTTTTGAAATATATTTACTAATTCAACACAACAAGACATTGAAAAAATGAGCATAATGTCACTTATATAACCATTAAGATACATGTACTGTTTTTAGAAGTACAGCATTTATATTAGATGTTGTTTATCTTATAGAGGATTGGTCATCAGCTCTCGCCACGTTAAACCAGATTGTTCCTATTATACCAGAGCAGTCATTGAGTTGTTCTCTTAGGTTGTATATATCAGCGCCTAAAGATGCCCAATCTGAGGTGGACATGTTTATGAAGGTATTTTATTGGATTTCTTTTGTTATTTCCCTGATAAGATATTGGAAATAATAATTATGAAATTAGGCAAAGCCTATGAACGGGGAAGTCGTTAAAAAAATCCTTTGGTTTTTTTCCATTTTAAAGGTATCATTTGTTATTTCATGCACTGCTTCCATTTTCACTTGGAACACTCGGTGATTATTATGTATCCAAAAAGTTGAGATTTGTTCAGTTATCGGAATACCCTGCCTATTATCATTGAGTTACATTGTAAATGGCTGCGCCCGACTAGAAATGACACTGAAAATTTGATTGATAGGTATAAAATTCTATATATTTTTTAATTGTTTTTAATTTGATTTTCTTTTAAATACACACGTGTTGTCTATAGCGGGGCAAGCTAAAGCCTGGGCAGGCTTTGTGGGCCTGTTCTTTGACTTCCCCGTATTAGTGAGTGAGATATAAGTGATATCACATTGTATGGAGTGAGTTTTGGGCCAGTTTTAACATATAGCCTACTGGTGGTCACTGTTTTTACACATGCAACCAGTGCAGACCAAGATCAGCCCGCACAGCTTTCCTGTCTCTTCATTGTCCATATTTTCTTTTAAAAATATGATTGGTTTTGTCCAGATTATAAGCCTGACAAGTCCATTTAAGATATCTAGGGTCGTTACAAGGTTTAAAGCTGCAGGCCTTCAGATTGCTAATTTTCAAGAAATTGTTTTTAACATGTGTTAAAATGTAAAATACTCTCAAATAAACCAGGAAGTAATTTACATGTTAACTGCGTATATCCAGTAATGCAGGAATGTGCAAATAACGCAGGACATTTACATGTATAATGCAATATTTTTTATTGTACACCAATATTTGATGAAACACCAAAGTCACCTTCAAAATGGTAATCAGGTTGTCTTTCTCACGAATGATCTAAGGAAGTAAACATATTCCTGAAAAATTTATTAATGCTTGTATGCCGTATGCGCTAATTCATTTCTTTAAATTTGATTTAGAATAAAATATTTTGGTTGGTTTACTTACTGCATTATTCGTTTTGGCAATACCGTTGCACAGATTTGGTGTTACTTTTCCGTTATTTGCACATTCCTGCGTTACTGGATATGCACAGTGAGTGGCAAACCACACTTAGAAATAACCAGAAATAGATCAAGATATGCAAAAATGGCCCTTACTACGTGTTAGTCACACAGTACAAATATGTTGTAAATACCACAAAATCAGTCATTAAATGTAAATAACATGTTGATTAGTACTTGAAACTTGAATCATTTTACTTTTCTTAAAGTTATAGCACAATTTTTTATCAAGTTAGATTTTCTTGAAATATTCTGACTCATCTGTAGGCATGCAGCTTTCATGGATTAGATACGGAAAGCAACATAATGTAATCGACAAAGTATACAAAACCTACACTAATTGTTAAGATGCATTTATTTCATCAACTATGTAATTCATGTTTACTAGACTTTTTCTAGATTTTTATTGTTAATTATACAGGAATATAGACCTAGACTAAGCTCACTGTGTAACAAAGAAGGTAGAAGTTTGGTCACTATACATTTACAATATGATGACCAGGACAATAATCTGGTAACTATTCTACTCTTATTCTGTTATAACTGATGAAGACCTTGAAGTAAAAGTGACGTTTATTATCAAGTTGAAAACAAAATGACAAAATGTGAAGTTATTTTAATTTCTATCTGAGCAGTCAGCATTTACTGATGGATTGGCTAATGTCACTTTAAAGTGTCTGTCTGTCTGTCTGTCCAGGCACTGTGCATTTAAGCCTTACTCAACATAATGTCACTATAAGGTGTCTGTCTATCAGCACAGACACAGTGTTTAAGTCTTATAATTAGATATATACATGTAGTCTTAAATCAAAATATCAAGATTTGATGACCTTCACAATTTTAGGGGATGACCATGACCTTTTCGTAGCTATTACGAGGTGAATAAATTGGGTTACCCAGTTTGGGCCTCAAAATTTTTATTTTTTAAATCAAGTTTTGTTTTCATTTATTAGATTAATGAGATTAATTTGTTTTGTTGTATGTATGTAAAGGAAATGCAGCTAAGATGCAGGAAACACCATGCACAGAAATCTTCTATATTCCTTGCTTTCCTGGGAGATAACTCTAACAGGTACACACTCTTTCTTAGGTCCTTTTTACATTAGCCACAGTTTGTAGTCAATATTAAAGTTGTTGTAAAGGTTTTTGTCATATTATTTGGTTTAGTAGAAACGATCTTCAATGGAGATTCAAATGAATGATGTGGAGAGAAACCAAAGATCATGCAAAACACCAAAATTTAAAATGTTGCAGTATCAGTTTGATTGAGCCTGTTCATGGACTGTAGTGTTAATTGCAAGCTACCATTCAGGCCCCCTAGCACCTGCTTAAGCAGAAATAAAAATAGAGAAATTTTGAATCTTGAAACTTGATGTACATACATGTGTTAAATTTTTATCTTCATTCCAATGTATGTATTTTATCATATTAACCCTTTCACTGCCAGAGGGTTATTGTTTTATTGATCACCTATTTGCCAGAGGGTTTCCTAAGAAATTACTATATTATTAATTAATATAATTATTATTATTTGTTATTAGTATTATAATAATTATATATGTTTCCAAATCTGCTAGTATAATAATAATTATTGTCGATGGTATAAATTTCTTTATATTTATTATTATTTTCATTATTATTATTATTAATTTATTATTATTACTATAGTTATAGAAACGGCAAAACCCGTCCATATGGCAAATACGCCGAAAATAACAGGGACGGTATAAGCCGTCCCTATGGCAGTGAAAGGGTTAAGTATAAACATCTAGTTTAAAAACACACAGTTTCGAGGAGGATGATTTAATGACCATTTTTTTTTTCAGGTTTACTGCTATAGAATATAAATGTGGACATTTAGATCACCCTGGTAATAAAACAGCTATTTTCTGTTTTAGAGAAATAAAAGGGTAAGTTATATGAAATTTATATAACCTTTAAGATACCCTATGCTCAAATTTGATATCGGTAAATATTGATAATTGCAATGCAGTCT